GAAACGTGTGAGGGGTGTGCCAGAATGGAGGGTGGAACCGCATGCGGGCGCAGCCACTGGGGCCTTCGGTGGAGCTCCCTATGGGGCCACGAAGCGTGTGAGGGGTGTGCCAGAATGGGGGGTGGAACCGCATGCGGGCGCAGCCACTGGGGCCTTCGGTGGAGCTCCCTATGGGGCCACGAAACGTGTGAAGGGGTGTGCCAGAATGGGGGGTGGAACCGCATGCGGGCGCAGCCACTGGGGCCTTCGGTGGAGCTCCCTGTGGGGCCACGAAGCGTGTGAGGGGTGTGCCACACTGGGGGGTGGAACCGCATGCGGGCGCAGCCACTGAGGCCTTCGGTGGAGCTCCCTATGGGGCCACGAAACGTGTGAGGGGTGTGCCAGAATGGGGGGTGGAACCGCATGCGGGCGCAGCCACTGGGCCTTCGGTGGAGCTCCCTATGGGGCCACGAAACGTGTGAGGGGTGTGCCAGAATGGGTGTGGGAGGGGGAGGAGGGGGGAGGAAGGGGAGGAGGAGGAAGGAGGAGGAAGGAGGAACGCGGGGCGACGTCTCTTCAAAACGAGGACCCAACACCACAGGATGGTTGGGAATAATCGGAACAAGGAAGCGGATGTAAGGAATCCGTAATAGGGAGTCGCTAGGGACCCTTTTTTAATACAAGAAATCTCAATTAAGGAGCCCTTGCGAGGAATCGTAACAAAAGGAAGCCTTACTCAAGAATATGTTTCAAGGATTCACTACTCAGGAGTTTTTGCTGGTGAATCCTGCATGCAGAATCTGAACGAAGAGATCCTTAATGGCCAGGCGCCCTCACAAACGGTTCAAGAAAACGCTGTTGTCGTGTTTTTCTGTCTGGTTCTGTTGTCTGGGATGCAAGGACACACTGTGCATGATTCTTGGTTTTGCAAGCTCAAACATAAGTGCTGCGAAGGAGGCCGCGGCGAGCACTGGGGCCTGCAAAACATACGTTAAACTATACACCGTGCTTCGCGGTTTCACGAGCCAAGGGAAAACAACCACATCAAACATACACAATGTCTTCTTGCACCAAGGGCGCCCACTATTGCGTTTTTTGTTGTCTGGAACGCAAGGGAAAATTAAACAATTCTTGCAGGCTCAAAGAGAAATGCTGCGAGGGAGGCCGTGGCGAACACTGGGGCCCGCAAAACCAAAAACATAATAAAACACCCCAAGAACATACCCAGTGTTTCGTGGCTCCGCAAACGAAAACACACACACACATAACAACAAAACAACAACATTAGCCTGGCGAAGGACCCAACCATATGCAGTTGAGAGTACCGCAATTGTGAATATCTTCTTCGGTGGCGCTCCCTATGGGGCCACGAGCCGTATGAGGGGTGTGCCGAAATGCGTGGCAGTGTACACAACACGAACGAAGACGATAGGTCCGAATATGAAAGCTTGAGCGCGTGCGAGTCGGATCGCGAGCGAGTCTGATTATGAATGAATCTGCGCGCGATTGATTCTATTCGCATGAATGCGTGCATGGATACGCCCAGTGTAAATGTATGTATACGACTGTGAACAGTTTGGGTCTGCGTGACTCTCGGTACTCGTGACTCTGAGCGTCGCCTCTGCAGGGGGCTTCCCTGGGGAAGCCCGACGGCAGCGCCCGCGCGCCGCGACGCCCATGTCGGCACGCCACACACCTGGTGTGCGGGACGCATGCGGACGGCAGCACTGGGGCCTTCGGTGGAGCTCCCTGTGGGGCCACGAAACGTGTGAGGGGTGTGCCGAAATGGGTGTGCGGGACGCGTGCGGACGGCAGCACTGGGGCCTTCGGTGGAGCTCCCTGTGGGGCCACGAAACGTGTGAGGAGTGTGTGCCGAAATGGGTGTGCGGGACGCATGCGGGCGGCAGCACTGGGGCCTTCGGTGGAGCTCCCTGTGGGGCCACGAAACGTGTGAGGGGTGTGCCGCAATGGGTGTGCGGGACGCATGCGGACGGCAGCACTGGGGCCTTCGGTGGAGCTCCCTATGGGGCCACGAATCGTGTGAGGGGTGTGCCGAAATGAGTGTGCGGGACGCATGCGGACGGCAGCACTGGGGCCTTCGGTGGAGCTCCCTATGGGGCCACGAAGCGTGTGATGGGGTGTGCCGAGATGGGTGTGCGGGACGCATGCGGACGGCAGCCATGGGGCCTTCGGTGGAGCTCCCTATGGGGCCACGAAACGTGTGAGGGGTGTGCCGAAATGTGTGCGCGGGACGCATGCGGACGGCAGCACTGGGGCCTTCGGTGGAGCTCCCTGTGAGGCCACGAAACGTGTGAGGGGTGTGCCGACATGAGTGTGCGGGACGCATAGCGGACGGCAGCGCATGGAGGCCTTCGTTGGAGCTCCCTATGGGGTCCATCGAAAGCGTGTGAGGGGTGTGCCGAAATGGGTGTGCGGGACGCGTGCGGACGGCAGCCTGACGGTGCCTTCGGTGGAGCTCCCTGTGGGCCAACGAAACGTGTGCGGGTGTGCCGAAATGGGTGTGCGGGACGCATGCGGACGGCAGCCATGGGGCCTTCGGTGGAGCTCCCTGTGGGGCCCGAAACGTGTGAGGGGTGTGCCGAAATGGGTGTGCGGGACGCATACGGACGGCAGCACTGGGGCCTTCGGTGGAGCTCCCTGTGGGGCCACGAAACGTGTGGGGGTGTGCCGAAATGGGTGTGCGGGAACCAATGCGGACGGCAGCCTGGGGCCTTCGGTGGAGCTCCTGTGGGGCCACGAAACGTGTGAGGGGTGTGCCGAAATGGGTGTGCGGGACGCATGCGGACGGCAGCACTGGGGCCTTCGGTGGAGCTCCCTGTGGGGCCACGAAACGTGTGAGGGGTGTGCCGAAATGGGTGTGCTGGACGCATGCGGACGGCAGCCATGGGGCCTTCGGTGGAGCTCCCTGTGGGGCCACGAAACGTGTGAGGGGTGTGCCGAAATGGGTGCGCGGGACGCATGCGGACGGCAGCATGGGGCCTTCGGTGGAGCTCCCTGTGGGGCCACGAAACGTGTGAGGGGTGTGCCGAAATGGGTGTGCGGGACGCATGCGGACGGCAGCCATGGGGCCTTCGGTGAAGCTCCCTGTGGGGCCACGAAACGTGTGAGGGGTGTGCCGAAATGGGTGTGCGGGACGCATGCGGACGGCAGCACTGGGGCCTTCGGTGGAGCTCCCTGTGGGGCCACGAAACGTGTGAGGGGTGTGCCGAAATGGGTGTGCGGGACGCATGCGGACGGCAGCCATGGGCCTTCGGTGGAGCTCCCTATGGGGCCACGAAACGTGTGAGGGGTGTGCCGAAATGGGTGTGCGGGACGCATGCGGACGGCAGCCATGGGGCCTTCGGTGGAGCTCCCTATGGGGCCACGAAACGTGTGAGGGGTGTGCCGAAATGGGTGTGCGGGACGCATGCGGACGGCAGCCATGGGGCCTTCGGTGGAGCTCCCTATGGGGCCACGAAACGTGTGAGGGGTGTGCGCGGAGGAGGAGGAGGAGGAGAGGAGGAGGAGGAGAGGAGGTGGGACGCGGGGCGCTGTCTCTTCAAAACGAGGACCCAACACCACAGGATGGTTGGGAAAAACAGTGTTTCTTTGCACTGACGGCGCCAAGCGCTGTCTGGTACGGGATTGGTATTGCTACAAAGAGAGCAGGAGGAGGAGGAGCAGGAAAAAGGAGGAGGAGGAGGAGAGGGTGAAGAGAAAGAAGAGAGAGGAGAATGAGAAAGAAGTAGAGAACCAGAGAGAGGTATGGTCACAAGGGGGGGCGGCCCGAATTATCCGGGGTAACTCGGGCCCGGGGTAACTCGGGTTCGGATTTCCAAAAAACGAGCCCGAGTGAGCCCTGACCCGAGTTACCCCTGATGATTCGGGGCTCTGGGCGCCCGAATTAACCGGGGTAACTCGGGCCCGGGGCAACTCGGGTTCGGATTCCCGAAAAACGAGCCCGAGTTAGCCCTGACCCGAGTTACCCCTGATGATTCGGGGCTCTGAACGCCTGTTTTCGCCAGGGGGTGGAAACTGTCCCCAACGATCTCGATGGCTCTGTGGCGGCGGTGTCCTAAGATCTTCACAACCAAGCCAGCTGGAGCATGGGCGGGTCTCTCGGACGATCGGCCTCAAAGTCTGATCGATTTGCAACCTCGAGCTGGAACACTACAGATAAACAATCGGAACAGTATACCCGAGCGCTGGCGGAACTCCGCCAGAAAATTATCGGAGCACGAGCGGGACCATTAAATCCACTGGTGCGCAATGTGCAGGTTCAGTTGCTCGCAAGCAAAGACAGTGCGTTTATAGCATGCAGCATGTTCAGTTCAAGTGTGCATTCTCTTGGGTCTCGAAAGGTCCGCAGATCTCAGCAGGCCTAAAAGGTTCCCACGGATCCCACGATGCTCCTGAAAGCCCAACGTAGAACACCGTGACAAACATCGATGGCGTCCAAGAGGGGGGCGGACAAAGAGGGCGTTCACAAATCATGGCCTGAGGCATGTGCGCGAAGGGGGAGGTAACGGGGGGCAGATCGAAAAACACAAAAGTGAGGGGAACATGCAACCAGGGGTGCCTTCATGACCCCAGCTATAACATCCACACCCCTTCTCTGGGATCCGACGCAGCGGAAAATCTGCACCATCACAAACAGATCGCGCCTGGAACACTGGACCCTGTACTTCTTCACGCTGTCTCTAGCCGAACCGACATGTGAGGGTCCCGGGGCCCAAAGCCGGGCGGAAACGCCGGGCTCGAAGAATGGAGACGCCAGGATCCCAGGGTTCCTCATCAAACCCCTCGTGTGAAGGGGCCCCAGGACACACAAATAAATACACACACAAATAAAAGGATCCCCCATATTTTCCCATATTTTCTGGGTTTTTGTCTTCCCCCCCACTTCCCATATTTTCCCATATTTTCTGGGAAATCGAAGATTAATTGTGTCTGTGTGTTTCTTTTCCTCCTGATCGTGACCACTCCCGGCACCATCGGGCGAGGGGGGGCGGGGGGGGGGCCTTCGGCGCGTGCGCGGCCGGCAGATGGAACGCCAGGGTCACGCCGGACGCTTGGCGGAGAAGGCGCGGCCGCCCCAGCAGCCTCGTCGTCGTCGTCGTCGTCGTCGTCGTCGTCGTCGTCGTCGTCGTCGAGTTCGACGTCGTCGTCGCCGTCTGATCAAAATTGGGACGCTGGCTCCCAAATGCCCCCCTTGAACCCCTTCTTGGACCATTGTCCGAGAAACGTCTGGCCGTGCCAACGCGAAGGTCGTCGACATTGACCCCGTCGACGTCGTCGTCGCTATCGTCGTCGTTCAGAAGTCCCGATATTGCAGAGATGCCTACAGGTGCCCGGAAGCCAAAAAGCCAAACAAACGTCCAAAAATGAAAAGTAATTAAGTCGTCGTATGGACAACGTCGTCAGAATCGGTGCGTTGGTTCCATCCTAGGGTCCATTCCGCCGAGGCGAGTCCAGCCGGGGGGACGCCAGCCGACGAACACGACGACGTTGGCGTCGTCGTCCTCTTTGTCGTCGTCGCCCCAAGGTTTCTGAAAGTTCCAAGGTCTCCGAAGGTCGATGAGAGGAAGAAGCGGCCGAACGGAGAGAAGGAGGAAGGAGGGAGGAGCGCGAGGGAGAATGAGGAGGGGTCATGGAGTCATGGATGCAAGAAGTGCGCGGTGCACACTGCACGCAGGCGGGCCGCAAGGGCAGGCAACCGGCACCCCCGGCCTCCTCCGTACGGGAGGAAGCGGGCCCGAAGGCGCGCGAACCGACGAACAGGGGATAGGCAACTACCTCGTTGCCCAGCGACTCGCCTCCAGCCGAGATGGCATGTTGCGTAGGGGGGGCGGTCGCTTCACCTCGTCACTGCGAGGTACTTCCCGACTATCACCCCCTGCCCGATCAGCTGGCCTGCTAATGCGCAACTGGGCTTGTGGTGAACGGGCACGAGGCCACCATGGGATTTGCGGGCCACGTGGCCCCGCCTCTCAACCAAATGCGCAATCCCCCGTGCCTGGTACCCACCTCCAGGTCGCGGAGCGTGGCTAGCGCCGCTGCCACAAGAACGAACGACCCTCGCTGCGGTCAAGCTTCCAGGCCTAGCTCAGTCCACGCGGGTGATGCCATGTCCTCTGGATTCTGGCGTGTCTGGACCCATGCACTGCGAGACATGTCAAAAGTTTGTCGGTGTAGGCGCGTGTGTCGTCTCAAGTTCTCGCTATTGGTCTCGGATGGCTGCTTGCATGAGGTCGGTGTGCTGGTGCTCGAGCGTCATCTAGTCGTCCAGGTGACGGTGTCTTGGGCTGTGCGTGCCCATATGATGTCGGTCGGTTGTCTTTTAAGATGGGTCGTTGTGGCTGTCGGTGGAGGTCTGGTCTGCGTGAACGTAAATACGTGTTGAATTCGTCGTCCCAACGCTTGTGTTGGCCACCTTGCTGTCTATGCCCGCGTCGGCGAGAATTGAAGTCTGGCTGCCAGTGCAGTGCTCGCCATGGCCACCTCGTGTGGTCGTGGCTTGAGACTCTTGCAGCCATTCTCCTTGTCCGCTCGAGCCAGCTGTCGATGTGATGGAGCCTCATGAAGTATTCTTAGAGGCCTCCTGGATGGGGTCGGAAAGATGGGGTCGGAGAATCGCGCAACATCGCCGATACATCGCCGGTACATCGACGACGTCGGCGATGCATCGGCGACGTCGGCGTGCAGAATGAAATATTACGCGCATCGTGCGGCGCGTTCAATGTATTCGACCCGGGTCTGTGTCGCCCTCGATGCGCTAATCAGGTGTAGCAGGGGCTGTTTGCACACTGGTCGTTGTGAGGTGCTGCTTTGCGCATGCCGTCGAAGCCTGTAGTTCCCTGGCTGCTGTCGGGATCTGCTTGGTTCGTTGTGCATGGTGTGCCCATATAATTATGCGAAGCATGCGTCTTTGCGTGCGTCGCAGGCTCTGCAGGAGGAGGAGACAGGAGGAGGAGGAGAAGGAGGAAGAGGAGGCGGCGGAGGCAGAGGAGAAGGAGGAGGACGAGGAGGAGGAGGAGGGGACAGTAGGAGAGGAGGAGGAGGAGGGAGGACAAGGAGAAGAAGGAGGAGAAGGAGAAGGATGCAGAAGAGGATGAG